CCTAGTCGTCCCTCCAGCAAGGCTGGGGGAGGGGCTTTTAGAAGTGGGCGGGCTGACACCCACCCACTCCTAAGTTTCAAATAGTGACTCCCTAGAGTGCCCTGCAAGAGAGAAATTGCAGTTTCGCAGCTGCCAACAAGTTTGCTCGGCACACCTTGGCCTAGCCATAGGCTGAGTGACAGTGTCTAAGGCCCAGCCTGGGCTAACAGTTTATAAGGCCCAGCCCTTGGTCAGAGCGGGGTGGACAGACAAATGCCTACTAAAAGCAGTTCAATAGTTTAAAGCTACAGCTGGATCCCAGCCGGATAGAGGTCGGGTCTCCTCACTGATGGAGAGCCGACAAGTGCAGGGGCTTTGCCCCACAGGGGGAACTTGCAATCCCAGCCCGGGGCCCTGAGGGTATGTCCACACTGCCACCCTAGTTCGAACTAGGGTGGCAGTGTGGACATACCCTCAGGGCCCCGGGCTGGGATTGCAAGTTCCCCCTGTGGGGCAAAGCCCCTGCACTTGTCGGCTCTCCATCAGTGAGGAGACCCGACCTCTATCCGGCTGGGACCCAGCTGTAGCTTTAAACTATTGAACTGCTTTTAGTAGGCATTTGTCTGTCCACCCCGCTCTGACCAAGGGCTGGGCCTTATAAACTGTTAGCCCAGGCTGGGCCTTAGACACTGTCACTCAGCCTATGGCTAGGCCAAGGTGTGCCGAGCAAACTTGTTGGCAGCTGCGAAACTGCAATTTCTCTCTTGCAGGGCACTCTAGGGAGTCACTATTTGAAACTTAGGAGTGGGTGGGTGTCAGCCCGCCCACTTCTAAAAGCCCCTCCCCCAGCCTTGCTGGAGGGATGACTAGGCCTGGGGATCAACTAATTCCGGGACACAAATAATGAAAAACAAACACGGTTAAGGGGTGCAGGTCACAGGGTCAAAACAAGGGAACTGGATGTGGACACCGAGCAGAGAATCCCGGACAGCACCCACTGTTCCTCAAAGCTGTCAATGAAGCCCGTGGACACCGCCCAAAGGAACTCTGCATGGATATGTGAAACCAGGGAGGAATGGAAATAGGCCCCACAGTCGCAGAGAAGCCCCTCGTCCAGCATCCTCCTCCTGGCATTGTATATTGCAGCTTTCGCCAGGGCCAGGAGGAGGTTGATGAGGAGATCTCGCAACTTTGTGGGGCCACAAATGGGGTGCGCATCAATGAAAAAGTGTGGGGAAAAGTGCAGCTGGAATCTCAATAGAGGTTCTGGAGGAGCTAAAATAGGGGCTGCAACCTGACGCATTCTAGATATGCATGTGCCAGGTTTTCCCTCACACCACGGAAAGGGCAGGTGTCTGGGATAGGGGTGAACCATGCCAAGTACACGCCCGTGCTCAGGCTCTGTGCAGGAGCTGCCAACTGATGTCCCCGATGGGCCACGGAATTAGGGTGGAATACATGCTGGCCCATCGGGGCTCCTCACCCTCTACAGGTCTTAGGTAGTCCCGCCACTTGGTGTCTGGGTGGGACACAAGGGTAAGGAAATGCAAAGTGTGGAGCACAAGCGTGTACAGGCGTTCTCTTGGAGCTGTTCAGAAGCAGACCAGCTGTAGATCTTGCAGCCAGCTGGGGATCCAGGGAGGGGAAGGCCCGGGGGGGGGCACGAAAGAGGGGCCCAAGAAGAATGGATGGAGGGTTTGCAGGAAGGGAGGGGCGTGGCCTCACAGGGACCTCTGCAGGAAATCTAGAGCGGGCTGCGGTAAGGCCGCCTTCACCTCCTGGAGTAGGCGCAGTGGGGTTTGGGGGTGAGAGCCCCATGCGCTGAGTGAGCACTCGGGGATCCACCCAATCCCTCCTGTCATAGTCCAGAAAGTCTCCAACCTTGGTGGTTTCTGCCAGGATCAGCCTCCGGCGCAACAATTGAGACTCTGCCACTTGCACGCACAAGGCTGGATTATGGAGCAGGGGATCCACGAGGAGGTCTGCTCCCTCGGTGGCCACAACAGACCTGGGCACTGAGAACAGTTTCCTGATCTGGAGGAGTTTCTGGTAGAATTCTGGCAGCTCTGAGAGATCTCGTGGAAGACCCCTCGGGTGGATAAAAAAGAGCTGCCAGTCATATCGGAGCCCTAGGCGGCGGCAAAGGAAGGCGCACGCCAAGGTGCTCTACGCCAGACTATCTGCACTAAAGAACAGTCTCTGCAGGGCCTGGAGGCGGAAGGTCCAGACCTGGCTGCACACACAGACCAGGCCCTGGCCCCCCTTCTCCAGAGGAAGACACAGAACCCCTGCAGAGACCCAGTGCAGTCCTGGCCAAAAGAACTCCAGGGCCATCCTCTGGAGCTTGGCCAGGAGCTCTGGGGCCGGGCTCAGGGTGTTGAGCCAGTGCCAGAGCATGGACAGGACCAGCTGATTGAATACCAGCGCCCTCCAGTGAAGGGAGAGAAACTGGAACAGTCCTGTCCATCTCTGCAGCTGCTCACCCACCCTAGCCTCCAAGCCTTGCCAATTCTCCAGTGGAGAAGGATGCATGGCAGATAAATAAATGCCCAGATAGAGCAGTGGACCCATGCTCCACCTGATGGCCTGAAGCGCGGGTGGGAGGAGCTCCTGCCCCAGCTGCCCCGGGCAGAGGAGGCCACCGAGTAAACGGCTTGGCAGGCCTCTACCCGCGCCAGGTTGCCCGGGTCCTGGACCACGAGGAGCACGTCATCGGCATACGCCAACAGAACCAGCCACAGCTCCGGCTCTTGAAGCACCAACCCTGTCATCCTCCGAAGGAGGAGACAGAGGAAGGACTCGATCACCAGAGTGTACAGCTGGCCCAACAGTGGACACCCCTGACGTACTCCCCGTCCGAAGCTGACTGACTCGGTCAGGGTCCAGTTGAGCTTGACCAAACACTCTGCGAGGGCATACTGCACCCAGAGAAAACCCACAAAATGGGGTCTGAAGCTGAAGGCCTGCAGAGTGCCAGGAGATACCCATGGTCCACCCTGTCAAAAACCTTCTCCTGGTCTAGGGTCATGAGAGTGAACGACAGACCGTCCCTACATCCAGGATCCAAGAAATCCTGGACCAAGAACAAATGATCAAAGATGCTATGGCCTGGAACAGTGTAGGTCTGGTCGTGGTGGATCACGTCCGCCAGGACAGACCGCAGTCACAGTGACATGGCTTTTTCTACAACCTTATAATCCATGCTGAGGAGCGAGATGGGACGCCAATTCTGAAGGTCGCGGAGGTCCCCCTTCTTCAGCAATAAGGCTGCCTGCACAACAGAGGGAGGACCCTACTCTCTAAGAACTCGGCCCAGACGGTGACGAGGTCTGGGCCGAGGCCATCCCAGAAGACGCGGTAGAGCTCCACAGTCTGCCCGTCCATGCCCAAAGTTTTGTTAACGGGCATGAGACGGAGGGCTTCTGAGAACTTGGCCAGAGTGAGAAGCAGCTCCAGCAGATCCCGGTCACCCATGCTGACCGTCGGGAGCTCCGTCCAGAGCACCCTGCAGGCCTTGGCTTTGGTCGGATCCGGGGACAACAAACTGACGTAGAAGGCTCTGGCCCTTCCATGCATCTCCTCCGGATCCATGAGGGGGGGTGCCGTCCTCTGCCAAAAGGCAGGTGATGTGCTTTTTAGCCCTCCTCACTCTATGGAGTAAGTATGGCCTCCTGCTGACCTTGGACCCTTTACAAGCAGGGTACTGTTTTATTACTAACAGCTCTTCCTGCCTTTCTTCACCTGCTCTGCCCTCCTCCCTAGCCTGTCCTTCCTGTCTGCTTTTATAGTTTTAGCAGCAGGAGGGGTGGGGGGGAGTGGGGGCAGAGGGAAAGGCTACTCACCCAGGCTACATCTACACTATAGGGTTTTTGCACAAAAACCCATGAAGCGTCCATACTTTTTGCATAAGTAAATTTATAGTAAATCAAAAGAACTGAGGGGTTTTGCAGTGCAGGTATTCCTCTATGAGGAATAACTCCTTTTTGTGTAAGAGTTCTTGCGCAAAAAGGTGTGTGTGGATGGGCAATGGGGTTTTTGCGCAAAAAGAGCCAATCGAAAAAAAGCATAGGTGCTCTGGTGGCTATTCTGTGAATAGCAATCAGAGCTTTCTTGTGAGAGAGCATCCATGCAGTCTGGACACTCTCTTGCGCAAAAGTGCATCACTTTTGCAATGTGCTTTTGTAGTGTGGACGCGCTCCTGCGCAAGAAGTTTTTGCGGAAGATCTCGTCCACAGAAAGCTTCCTGCACAAGAAGCCTGCTGTGTAGACATAGCCCCAGTTAGCCCTTGAGCTGTATCTCTAGTCAGTTAATTACCACCTTCTGCCAAGTCCCTGTCTTGTGCTCTACTCCCCATTAAGGTGCAGGGAGAGCCAAGCCAGCTGCTGACTCAGCAGCACCCCCTCCTACCTGTGCACAAGCCTGGCTTTTTTTGGCCTGATGCCTAATAGCCCTGCCAGCCTAGAGTAGGGTTGCCAGATGGTTTCAATAAAACTATGGGCACACTTGACATTACATCACAAACTACATGACATCTGATTTAGAAAATCCGGGACATTTATATTTTCTCAGTTTGTTTCCTGAATAGAAAGTGCAAATATTGGAGGGCCCAGTTCAAAACTGGACACCTGGCAACCCTAGTCGAGGCTGAGCTGGGCTGAGCCCGCCCCCATCTGCAACACGTTCCCTGGGGATTAAGCGGAGCCAAGAAGCGGGAGGCTGGGCTGGCTGTCCTGAGGGGGGAGGTGTCTTCTCGCTCCTCCGCGCCAGGGCCGGAGGGAGGAGGCTGCCAGGAGCTGCGGTCCCGCTCCCTCGGCCGGGGCGCTGTCCCTTTAAGGAGGAGTGTGCTTGGGTTGGGGCGGGCCCGGCCGCGGCTCTGGGCGGCTTCCCTCGCCGGGCTCGCGGGCCCC